TGTGAGGCCCTGGGTTCAACCTCCAGTACTGCAAAAAAGATCTTACCAAATCCTTTCTACAGGAGGCAAACTTTAGCCTTAAAAACATAAATATGTTGGAAATAAAAACTAGAAAGAAGATAAATCATGCAAAGAGTAATGAAAGTAGAGCCAGGCCACTGTGCCATCTTCTCCCCAAAGAGGTAACTCTCCACAAGGTTCTCCTCAGACTCTGGAGTTGAATTCTGTGTTCCTAAAGCTACAATTCCAGAGCCCTCCACGTCTTTCCTTTTTTTTTTTTTCTTTTTCTTTCTTTCTTTTTTTTTTTGAGACAAGGTCTCACCATGTAGTTTAGACTGGTCTTGAAACTCACTTTGTAGCCCAGCAAACTGGCCTCAAGCAATCCTCCTGCCTCAGCCTCCCTAACTGCCTGTATCTCAGGTGTGTGTCACCATGCCTGGCTGTCTTTCTAAGAGTCAAAAAAAAGAAAGAAAGAAAGAAAAAAAGAACACATCCTTGGGCATTGCATTAATATACCTGAGGTGATCTTGAAGAATAGATGACTTGGGCTAGGGATTTAGCTCAGTGGTTCTGCCGCCTGCCTCAAAAGCGCAAGAACCCGAGTTTGATCCCCAGTACCAAAAAAAAAAAAAAAAAAAATAGATGACTTAGGCTGGGTGTGATGGCACATGCCTGTAATCCCAGCACTTGGGAGGCTGAGGCAGGAGGATCACTGTGAGTTCGAGGCCAGCCTGGGCTACACAGTGAGTTTGAGGCCAGACTGAACTACATAGGGAGACCTTGTCTCAAAAAAACAACAAAAAAAAGAATAGATGACTTATTTAAGGCCAGCCAGGAAAATTGAGACAAACGTTTGTGTCAAGCTGTAATCACCAACAGCAACATATCGACAGACGAAAACAGTGACTTGTGACCCTCCTGCCTCAGCCTCTGGAGCACCTGGGGTTATACGCATGCACAACACACCTACCTTTAAATTCTTTTTTGCTGTTGTTATTATTTTTGGGTTTTGTTTTTTTGAGACAGGGAATCACTACATAGCCCAAGCTGGCCTGAAATTTGCAATCCTTCTGCTTCAGTCTCCCAAGTGTTGGGATTACATGTCTAAATTAAAGTAACTATCTTTTGTAGTTGTTGATCTCAGCCTTCATAGTAATCAAATGGAACAGAAAAAATGTTCAATAATTTTATTTTCAAAAATTAGAGAAAGAATGGAATTAATATGACAAAATGGAAAAATAGGAACAAAATCTTTGTAAATAGGGAGGAATGGAGGGGTTGAAGGGAGGGCTAGGCAAGGGTGAAAGATGAGAACCAAGAGAGATTATGTAAAGGTGCAAATTTCCAATGATGAATGTCATTATATTGTATACCTAAAATGTACCAATGATTAGAATGAATGATCGATAATGCAAAATAGGAAGAAAAGGTGCAAAGGGGTAGGGGTAGTGGGAGGGGCAGGGGAAAGGAAAGAAGGAAAAGGAAAAATGATGAGAAATGGAAAAGATGGAAATAAAGTCTTTGTAAATAGGGAAAGGGGGAAGGGGGTGAAGGGAGGGCTAGGAATGGGGAAAAAATAAGAACCAAGATGCATCACGTAAAGGTACAAGTTCCCAATGAGAAATGTAATTGTGTTGTATTCCTAAAATGTACCAATAAAAGAATTTCCGAAAAAAAAAATTAGAGAAAGAATGTAAGGTACTTTCTTCCTTTTGAGTTTAATTTGTTTACTTAGTACATAATTATTAAAATTAGATAAGGCCTTTTGGTTTCCATAGTCCTATAATACACATAGGTGATTCAGAGAAACAAGAAAGTATCAAGAATACAAACTGTATAATTGGGCCTGGTCATTTTTTGTTTTGTTTTTTGTTTTTTGAGACAGGGTCTCGGTCTGTAATTCAAGCTGGCCCTACACCCACTATGTGTAGCCCAGGCTGGCCTCAAACTCGTGGTGATCCTCCAGTCTCAGCCTCTGGAGTGCTGGAAGTACAGGCATGCGCCACTATGCCTGGCTAGCCCTGGTTTGGAGAAGCAGTGTTGAATCACACCAAAAGAAATCAGTACTTTCTCAAAGACAGTAGATGTCTATTACATAAATCAAAGAACAAGCAGTTCACAAAGCCTAAGTCAGTGTTCAAAAGGCGTTAAACACTTTAGTCAGATACAGTCCTAATAAGTTCCTGTGGGTTTTGTTGGTTTTGGTTTGCCTTTCATATAGGCAAATTGATTATGATAATCCAGTTTTATAGGCAAATTGATGATAATCCAGTTTTTAAGGCAATTGACAATTCCATGTAGGGATATATGAACAACTATTGTAAATCAGTCTTTGGTTAAAGTGCCTTCCCTCCCCCAAAAGAGCACAATCTCTTTCAATTTCTTTCTTTCACTTAGGCTCTGCCTGGAATTTTCCTCTCCATCTCAATGGTGTAACATACAATCACGTGTTCATTGTCTTGTTTTCCTTTGGGCGGTGTGAGTACTTCCATTTCCTTCTCTTTTTCATCCTTTCTCTCATTATGGGTCTCTAACAGATCCTCTCCAGGGTCTCTCTGATCTCTATGCTAATAAGAAAGCACTGAAAGACCAAAAGGAAGACAAAGAGGGAAAAAAACTCCCAAAGCAGCTGGGAACCCTTAATTCTATCTATCTCTATGGAAACAATTCCACAGAGATGGATCTGGAAGCAATTCTATGGAGATCATCAGAGCAGCAGGCAGCCACACTGAGCCTTACTCACAGGATTCAGCTTGCAAATGGGAATAGCTGACAATTTTGGGGTAAAATAGTAAAACAGGAAGCCAAATAAAAATTATACTTACCACTATATATTTTTTAATCTCAAAATTTCTTACTTGCTATAATAAAAAAGCAAAAGTAATGTATGCACTAATTCCAAGCACTTTCTCACTGGCAAAGAGTGCCCAACACAAAGATATTAGCCCCCCGCCCAAGAAAAAAAAAGGAACACTGTTTGGTCGTGAGCAGTCATTCATGCCATGCCATTAGAATGATTTTAGGATCGTGGCTCATAACCACACCAAGTATGTGGAAAGAATGCGAATTCAATCAGGCAGTAAACAGATTGTTTGGATTCAGGCATGAGGTGAAAGGGATTACAGAAGTTCACCTACCAAATCAGGTTGGAAGATTAAAAGGATAAAGTAGCGATGTAACTCAAATCCGTAGAAGGAAGAGTAAGGTAAGAACTCTACCTGGAGCATCCAAGACATTATTTTTAAATAGCAGAACAAGCTCCAAGCCCTGAGATGGATCCACAATTTAGAGGTGTGGGGGAACTTTACAGTGTAGATGATACCAAGACAGCCAAGTTCCACACCTGCTCAGCTGTCTCCAGCCAAGACTGGACACTGTAACTATAAACTGCAGGTCTCCCCAGATGGTAAAGTCAGTGTTGGCTAGGGGAAGTGACTTCAATTTACCTAAAACTTTGTCCGTTTCCTTAAAACACCGGTAATTTATAGCCACGAGAAGTTTCATAGTGTTTTAAGACCCTGATCCTTAAGAGTAAAACCTTTTGGATTTCAGTCCTAGCTCTGCCACTCAGCTGAGTGACCTTGGGCAACTATTTTCACTTGTCTGGGACCAGGCACATCATCTGTAAAATGAAGAGTATTATTTTTCCGGACCGTAAAGAGAGTGAGTTGCATACAGAGCCTAGTTCAAGCAAATTCTAAATATATGTGAGCTATAGTTATTATAGCATCCTCGTTTTCCTTTTCTCTGTTGTAATTATAATCATGCTGACCCTTCCCAAGTTAATTTGAAGAGCTGGGCTAAGGAATGGCAATAGGGTACCACGACTGAGGCTATTCTTACTGACCCACAATTGCCTTAAGCAGCCTGAATATGAATTGTCAGGAAACGTAAGTTTCCATTACTGAAACTAACTGGTCTCCTGTCTCCGCCCTATACACTACAGATCTCATGGGGGAAAATTTTTTTTAATCCTACACTAACACTCCTCAACAGTCTTCTCGATATCTGTAGCACAAAATCCAAAATCTTTTGAAGGGACATTAAAGGTTAATTACATCGGAGTTTCATCCTCATTTACAACCTACACCCATCCAACAGGAACACTCAAAATTCACCTCCTCTCCCTCCAATGCATGTACGTTCCTAGTTTGCACTTTTACTTGCTTTTTTTTATCAGGACTGCATCCACCCTGCCCACAGAAACTTTGGCTTACATTTGTTTTGAAACGTAAAAGGTGGGATATAATGTGTCATAGAAAACTTGTTGGCAGGATGACAGCACCACCTCAGAGAATACATATTTTAGGTGTCACTTGTGAACACGACTTGCAAGAATACAAAGCTCTATTTAGAATACAACCCTAAGTCCCGTGCCCTGACCCGTCGATCGGTCACTGAGGCTTTGAGAGCAAAGGGAAACAAACACAGTCGTTGAGAAGTCAATCAGTCCCGGACCGGGGGTGAGGGGGCAGGTCAGGGCGATGGGGGATTAGGAGGAGGAAACCCGGCCCACAATCTAAATCTGGTCTGGCCGGCACCTCCTCTTTTGGCAGAAGAGAAACATTATTTGTTTTTTTAAACTGCAGAATGCAAATACGGTGGACAAGAAAAAGCACCAGCCGCACGCGCGCGCACGTGCGCGCGCAGATCCGCGGCCGCACCACGGGTCTCCCCCGCCCACGCAGGGTAAGGCGGGATCTTCACGGGACGTGTTCCTCGTATTCCTTCATAATGCGTGGGAAAGGCTGCTGTTGTCACCTCATCCTCCCCGAGAGGGCAGAAAAGTGGCCTTTGATGGTTGTAAGGTAAGCAAGAAAGGCAGCCCCCCACCCCCTCCCGGGGTTCTTTCTTTAACAAGCCCCCGTCCCTTCAACCCCATCCTGAGTCCGCCCATCTGTGCGCAAGCGTACGTCGTGCGGCCCGCGGCGGGGCGGAACCTCGTCTCTCATCTCGCGAGAGCAGGGCGGCCGGGTCCGTAGCTTTCGCTCCGCCCCCTCCGCCTTGCTCGCTCTCTCCCATCCCCCCAGGCCAGTTGCTCTGCTGCGCAGCTTCCTTAACGGTGGCCGCTGCTGGAGACAGTTGGGAAAACCGTTGTGCGGAGCGTTCCGCGAGGCGAACGGCTTCTCCCTCCGCACGACCGCAGCCCGCGAGCACCGGAGACAGCCTTACTATCGCCCGTCAGGGTATCTGAAGTAAAAGGGGGTAGGTTGGGCCGGCGGTGTCGAGAGCCGAATCGGGAGGACGAACGGGAGACCGGGAGGGGGTGGGGCGGGTGAAGTGTGGAGGTCGCCGGTCGGAGGCGGCCGGACAGCGCCTCTCGGTCGATTTCCCACTTCAAGGAAGACGGCTTGCCCGGCGAGGACTTGCTTGGGGGAGTCCAGTGGACGACGCCAAGGCCCGGAGTGGGGGGCTCCCGGCGTGTCCCCCCTTTCCTGTTGGCTGGGCCTCCGCCATTTTGTGTACGGTGGCGCGGACACATTGGCTTCCCGCTCTTTCTACTTTTTGTCCCTCAGCTTCCTAAACTGACTTAGGGGGCCACGGGGTGGGGGCGGCCGCGGCTCCGGGAAGGGGCGCGGGTGTGGAGTGAAGCGAGCAGGCGAGGCCGGGCCGCCGGGCGCGCTCCCGATGGAAATGGCGCCGGATGGGCCCGGCCTCTCGCCGCGGCCTCGCTACCTCCACAGTCTCGGCAGGGTTACCTGGGCTGGCGGGACTGCGAGCGACTTCTGACGCAGATTCCCAAGGTGAGAGAGGCTGGAGCTGGGAGAGGAAGGCCAATGGCGACGAAGGTACTCAGCTCCCAGATCCAGGACAAAGGAGGCAGGCGACTTCCTTTGTAATCCCGCCGCCCGGTGGCGAAGGTTTTTAAGCCAGGCTTGGCTGCGGACGGGAGGGAGAAGCGCCCCGAACTCTCAGGTCTCTGGGGCAACTAGATAAGCCGAGAGACTGCGGGGAGGAGGAAAGGACGCTTAGCCGGCCCTTAGAGTCCAGATTTGGAACTTCGAAAAGAGTACGTACTTATTTTCAGAGGGTTTTTTTTTTCCTTTTCCACGTCTAAACCTTTATAAAAAGACTCAGATTTTGTGAACAGAAAAATGGTCGACAAATCAAACAGGAATGTGAAATGGGCTTTTTTTAAACAGGCCGTTGGATCCGAGGGAACTGTGATGCCACTTTTTGGACTTTTGGGCTAGGGTGGGTGGCTTAGCATTGTTTTTTTGTAGTTTGGCACAAGTGGGTTAGAATTAGTTTCAAAGTAGTTTTATTTGGAGGAGACAGCTATTAAAAAACAACCAGTGATGGCAAAAATTTATATGTTGGGAGTTCAGTTGCTAACTTTACGTTCTAAAGCTCCAAGGTTGGTGTTTTTATAGTTTTTTCCCCCCTTTGCATTTAGGGCTGTGGGAGTAAAATACCTCAAAATGAGTTTGTTTTCTTTTTTGGTAGCAAAGTATGTTCTTAGGAGTACTATTATATAGTGATACGTTGAATCAGGAACTAAGCCGCTTAGATAGTGTGTAAGCCTAGTCATTTGGTGGTGGGGGTTTTTAATCCTTAGAACTTAGAGAAGTGTATTGGTAATTTTCATTGAATATAGTACAAAAAAGGACAAGCAAGAGGAAGTGAGTTTTCTGTAATGTATGTAAGTACGAATTTGTTACCTATTTTCTAGCTTTAAAAACAAACCCCTACTGCCTCTTGATGTTCTCTGATTTAACATTGCTAAAGAAAAGTTTACCAAAATCTTACTTTGAAACAGTGAGATTTTAGTGGACTTTGAAAAGACAGCACAGACTTTCCTGGAAAGCAGTATATAACCAACAGCTTTCCTTTTTGAGTTAGATGACATACCCTTTTCTGCCCCCTTTCATCTGCGTCATAATCTGGAGTTTTGGTTCTCTTAGATGATGCTTTTTTTTTTGTTTTGGTTTTTTGGGGGTTTTTTGGTACCAACGATCAAACTTGGGTCCTTGTACTTGCAAGGCAGGCGACGGAACCACTGAGCTAAATCCCCGGTCCAGATGATGCTTTTTAACAGCTTTGGGATGTAATTTATGAACTGTCAGTTTCTCCCATTTATTTATTTTTGCAGTACTGGGGATTAAATCCAGGACCTTCTCGGTGAGCTGCATCATGAACCCTTATATATTTACATTTATTTGTTTATTTTTGTTGTTTACTTTTGAGTTGGGTGTCACTGTGTAATTAGGCTGTTCCTGAACTCATTATTTAGTCCAGGCTGGCCTGGAACTGGAAGAGATCCTCCTACTTCAGCCTCCCAAGAGCTGGAATTACTGGTGTGCTCCCCCACACCTGGCTACTTAGCCCTTTTTATTTTAGGAGATGAGTCTTGCTAAATTGTACAGTGTGGCCTCAAACTTAATCCTCCTGTGCTACCACAGCTGGCTTCAACTTCTCCCACCTAAATACACATTTCTGTGGATTTCCTACAGAATTCTAATTTAGAATATCCTTTTATCATCCAAAAAGATACATACTGTACCTGTTAGTAGTTATTTCATAAGCTGACACTCCTTTAAAGCCCTGGACAACCACAAACTACATTCCGGTATTGCAGACATTTCATATAAATGGGATACAATATTTGTTCTTTTGTAACTGTTTTTTTTCCAACAATTTAGGAAATTACAAAGTCTCATTTAGTCTTTTTTTTTTTTTTTTTTTTTTTTTTT